TCTACTGTGAGGGTAACTCTCAATGCGGTGCAAGTATCCTGGAAGTCTTAAGACGACTTTCCACCAGGGTGCCATTGAGACCGTGAACGGCTCTCCAGTGGCGTTCTTGGTGGCGTGTAATCCAAGCCACAACGCTATGACTGTCACATCTTAAAGTGACCTTTTTTCCAGCCTCACAGTTTAGAACCGTTATATACTTGCCAATGAGCTGCAGACCGAGTATAGCAGCTTCAAGTTCAGCCAGATTTATGTGACGGCAATCGCGGACACTACGAAGGCGTGTGCTGTCCTCGACATAGACACCGCCGATAGTGAGTGCCACGCCCAAGGCATGTTTACTAGCGTCAGTGTATACCACCCACTCCTGGTTTGCATTATAGTTCCACATGCCTCCTATGGGATCACCACGCTGGACTATATCGCTCATGAGCTTTTCGCATGCTGTGAGGATATGGCTATCCACTGGTGAATCCCACGAAAACTCCTTACTGGGGATTCGTAGAGTCGCTTATCTCTTAAGCGAAGCCGCTGCAAGCCTTCCCCAACGAGCGATAGGATAATGCCCGATGAACTTGCCTGCCCATTTATGAATTCTACGCCGAGTACATATTCGGCAATCTAAGAGAGGTAAATCGCCTCTTCGACGCCAAGTGCCATCTGGTTGGCATTCTAGTCCGAGGACTCTACTCTCTTTGAGAGGGGTAGGCTCTTTGCTGGGAAATCCGTTACGTAACAGAATATCTCTAATGGCTTGGGCCCATGATCGCTGTGTGATGCTATCATCGACGTATATGTCGAAGATAACGGTCAGTGGGATGTACATTTGTCGAATATCGTTTAGTATTAGAGCCAAAGTCTTTGGCGCCACATTGAGGCCAAATGGCATTCGCACTATTCGGTAAGCCGTATGTGGCTCCCAACGTAACCGGATTCCGAGCCAATAGGACTGATCTTCATCGATAAAGATACAGAGATACGCCTTTTTCAAGTCAATAATCACCAATTCATCCGGAGGCTCAACTGAGAAGGAGCGCCACCGTCTGAGATTCTCAATGCATGCCAATGGCGTATCTCGATGCTCATTGGGGGTACTACAGATTGCCTCGTTGGCCCATCGCATATCGCAACATGGCCGGACGGGTGTAGTACTCTTATGTAATTGCTCAACGCATAGCAATGGATGAGTTGCTTTCAACTCTTCTAATGGAGTTTCCTTTATGAAATCGGACTCCTTCCATTGCTCGATAGCAGCTTTAAAAAGCTCAATAATCTCTGGTGTCTTCCTGCTGAAGACATCATAATCTGGAGGCATGATGTGCTTGGGTGGTTCTGACGAGTTAACCCAATTCCAATGGAGCTCCCAAATGGCTCCTTCGTCAGATTCTGGGAGACCAAGTCGCCGAACTGTAACATCTGACGCGTGCAATTCACGTGTCACTGGTCTCCCATGATGCAGTGGGCGTTCACTTCCTACGTCACAGCCAATGTGACTGTCAGTGGCATCACGGCCGTCAGTAACTTGAACCCCGATATGACACTTATATGTGTCCATGGTGAACAGAGTGTTATAACTCACAGAACAGAGATCATCGTGAGGCATCGTAGATGTCTCAGGATACCTCGGCTCGAGAAGGTCAATATTAGGCTGATTCCCTGAGAAGCGAATACTTATACCTCCAATTGCTTTATCCAATCTAAGCCGAGAATCCCGGCCAAAATAATTCTATCCGACGGTTCATTATTGCTATGTTGCCGACATACAGCAACTAACGGTTGGTCTGTGACTAAGACCTCCCGTAACACCACAGTCGTCTGCGATCGAAAATCGCTAGGAAGACTGATATTGGTCAAGACTTGACATTGATAAGACTTCTGGAATATAGTATTGATCGACTTTGTACGACCAGCACTAGCGTGAGTGCTGCCATTCAAGCCTGAAGTAGATGACAGGATGGTAATGGAACAATCAGAATCAATCAGGAAGTATAGTCCCTTAAGAACTATAAGTAATACACTCGAAGCAAGGCTAGGGGTGCTTACTTTATTGGGCTCTTGCCTGTCATCTGTAGTCTTCCGGGACGGGCATACATTGGCCCAATGGCCATAGCCTCCGCACACATAACATTGCTGTTGATTTGACCAGCCACCGAACCACGTATTATACGTGACGTATACGGAGAACTTCTCATAGCTTTGCCTCGTCCTTTGGTATTCCCTTTTCCCTTTCCGTAGTTGGTTCCTTTACTAGGAGACCAATTGGAAGACCATCCCTTGGAGCCCTTGCCGCCTTTCTTTCCACCATACGAATATTGGCCCTTGGCAGGAACCGATGCGACAGCACCTAACTCCTCCTGGCCCTGTGCTTGAGTGGAAGCGCCGGCATCCTCCACTTCAAAAAGTGGACGAGTGAGATCAATGGCTTTAGGCAAAGTTCGTTCCTTGGGAGCCAAGGCCGACCACATGCTTTGCTTGACAGCTTGAGTCTGTGGCAAACTGTTCCAGTAGAAAGTCGCCGCAACTTTTTCATGACTTTGAGAGTCAAGATCCTTGAATGCCAGCACTGTGTTATGTCGGATATCGGCTCCGTAACAATCAACCGTATCTTTGCCAATGCTAAAGTGCATGGCAATCAACTTCTTAAAGCTCTGTTTCTCCCCCTGACCGAATGATCGGTGGAGGCGGAGCCAAATTTCACGCTCAACGGCTTCGTCATCCAAAGAAGGATCGAAGCTTTGCTTAGACAATAGTCGATAGGCTTTACCTGTCAGACTATTGATTAGGTTGGACCTTCTCTCTTTTGGGGTCCACTTCTTAGATCTGGCTATCGAACACTAGCGCGCCTGCCACTCGTCGAGCGACATCGCATCAGCGGTCTTTTCGCCGCTATATAAGGCCAACTTAGGAGCCTTGAAACCTATTTCTCCCCCGCTAATTGAAAAGTCACTTGCGGAAACGGGTGGATTCACACATGCTTGAACATCACTGTTGTCTTTCGGCTGTGATGGCCGAGCTCCAAAGGCAGCCGCGGTAACACTCGGATCGACACTCTGAGTAGTAGGCTGCGGCAGGGGAGTTGCTTGTACAATGGGATGCTGAGGAAGGTCTTGGGGAGGAAGGTCCTCAGCCCTGAGGCCATGACGATGGCGAGGGGTCCTTGAGAGGCTACTCGAAATATGCTGACCGCCGCCCTCGGGGGTGTCGACAAACATCGCCCTCAGATGATTGTTGACGTCCAAAGCGTTTCTTGGGGACACCGAAGCTCCTTCCTGGGTCTGGGCACCATGTAGTCGTCTTTCCTCAGTTCTGACTTCGGAACGCGACATAGGGAGTCAGTAGGCCGAGTAAAGAGGGGCCTCGCGTTAGCTGACGTGAATGAAGGCCGTTAGCTATATGGGGCGAATCGATCAACTTTGTCTACTGCGCACAATCATGCTGTCTCGAATTCAATGGTTCCACCACACCCCCGGGGCTCAATATATACTGCTCTAGAGAACACTTCGGAGGTGCCGAGATTGACTACGACGATCCTTACCCCCTGAACCTACACGGCCCCGAGCTAGCCATGGAGGGCAACGATTTTTCGCAGAGTCAAGTTTTGCTTCCCCCTGCACCTTTTGCACAGGACCCTGCTGTCTGTCCCCATGATGAAGGCGATCGTCAGGTCGGACTGGTTCCGACGACGAATATGGTCCTCGACGATGCCGCTGATCTTCGAACTGGCCAGATCGACTCGATTAGTTCTCGACGTTCAGCACGGACTAGGCATCAGAACACCTTTTTCAGTCCTGACCATTATAGCCGGGATAGCTCCTATTCTTTCTCTGCTACTCAGATGCCTCCTCGTGGCTCTGAGTAGGAGGAGGGAGGAGAGAATGTAGTGTAGTGTAGCGCCGGCTGAGTTGTTGTTGTTGTTGCATGCATGAATTTGATTTGGGGCCCAAACTTTGAGCCCCGTTATTCTGATTATTTCAACGTTTTACCGCTGCTGGGATTTTGTCGCGGATTATGTCGGCCTGATCAACCGGCGTGATTCGTTGACTGCCAGTGTGTGGCTTGGCTTGTGTTAGCTTTAACAACTGTTGGGGAAACGTGAGACCCGGATAGGAGCGATGGCTGAGTATGCTGCCTCCCTTGATATTCTGGATGCCTGGTTAAAGGCCACGACTTCAGCCTTCTGATGAGTTCTTCCGGGAACCGTGTTGCTTCCTCTGCTATTATTGAAGCTCCCGTCAAGGCCGTGATTTCGGCCTTCTCATGAGTTGCACTCATCTGACTTCCTTCGGGACCGATTGTCCAGGATTGGTGGTGGTTGCGACACTGGTCGTGGACGATGAAAT